ACTGTAGCAACAACAACACAAAGTGCCTATAAAAATTATTTTCCAATTGCTACAGACTGGAAACACAATGTTCCTGGTGTAGAATTACTGATGTGTGTTAAATTTTCCAAATAGAAATTTCTGTCGTGAATTTAAACTTTTTTTCAGGGTGTCCAGTATATATATCTGTCTCACTATTCATTATTCAGGAATTGCAGGTGATGTAGAAACATTTTTATTTTCGCATTGATATTTCTTCCTAACCCATGCTCCCCCTTTTAGGCCTTGATTACAAAGGCCACTTAAAATGACCTTATGCTTTATAATAAATGCAAATGTAGAAAAATCCCTAAGTTGTTTAATATTGGCAGACTTTCTCTGCAGGAAATAAGCAATAAAATACCACGAAGTACCTGCTGTCTTCAGATCATTGTATTATATTCCCATCCCTCCTGCAAGTACGATTCCTCCCCCTTGGCTGGTGCTTCCTCCATTTTTAAAACAAAAATCATGACTACACAGAGCTGCCGCACGTCATTCTTTGCACGCATCATCCCTGTTTTTCTCTTTTCCTGCATAATGGCCCAGGCTTTTGTGAGGACAGCAGTTGTCCCAAGTGTGATCCTTGACTAAAATGGGAATTGAATGAAGGTGGAGCACAAATGATCTGGAAGCAAAGGCAAACCAGACATTTGAACAGAACTCCAAGAGGAATGAGTAATGAACCACAGTGGCCTCAATGAATTGCTGTGGAGGGAATTCTTGGTTTTCGAACACACACACATGCACACATGCACACACACACACACACACACACACACGCACATGCACACGCACGCGCACACACACACACACACACACAAAGACACTAAGGAAAATCTATGAAAGAATCACAGCAGGAAACTGGTCAAGACAGAGGGCTGGAACCAGTGGCCCTCCAGATATGAACAGAAACAACTATATTTTATGACTAACAGTTATGCATTCAAATGCATCATTTTGGAACACAAGGTACTTTGAGGAGTTGACATCTCTTCATAATTCAAGTTCATTGTTTCTCTAAGTAAAATATGTGTCTCCCTTTAGTTACTCTGCTAGGAATTATACTTTACAGGCAAAGGGACATTTTTGATAATGCACATCTTAAGACTTTTCATTAAAGTACCAAATTTAAATTCTACCTTTTTGTGCACTCTGACATTTTTGTCTGGCATTTTCATTAATTTTGCGACATACATAAATGTGGCTGAAATGTTAACTGATCAATACTTTGTCTCTCCCATGTAGCACTAGCACTCTGTTCCCCAAGGACCACACAGCAGAACAGAAATTAAATGTGTAAAATATCAAATGTTAATGTTAAACACAGCAGCATTTACTGTATAATGACAGAAAAGGCTAAAACAATTCCAAATGGACAGATGGTACCACAAATTATCTACAATCACATTTAAAGATTAAAGTTTGTCCTGTAAAATAATTCTTTTGACGCACACTGAAGTGTGTCCTTTTACTGTTAGCTCACTTGTCCAATTATTTTTGTGCTCATTACAGTGAGAAATGACAGTACTGAAAGGAAAGAGAATGTACACCCTCTTTCTTTTCTATTTTTTTCTTCTATTTTGCACCTACTGACATCCCCAAGAACACAAATGTCTGGTCAAGAGCCTGAGGAAAATTAGGCCCAATTTCCGCGACATTTGCGTGTCACAATAGATGATTTCCAAAGAAGAGCCTTTTGAACCACACATGTCTGTGTTCACTCCTCGACAAGAAAATATTCATAGCAACACTTACAAACCTAATGCATGGCACCGAGCAATAGGCCATCCCCAGAAATGTGTTTGCTTATCTTTTACTTTCCCCTTCTAGACCGACGTCAGCCTATGCTGTCACCGGCTGGCTCTGAGTCCTCCCACTGCACACAGGTAGGGCCATGGAGGTGGTAGCCACCATCCGTTTCCTTTTCTCCTGCTTTCCAAGCTCACTGACACTGGGACACAAAAACAATTGTTTTGCCATTTGATTTCATTATTCCATACTTATTTTTGGAGAGTGAATTAGAAAAGGAAAAGAAAATGGAATACAGAAAAAAAGACACTTAAACATTATAAGTTGATGAATCTGGGCCTAAAACCAAGCCAGATAATAGTACGAATGCATGTGCTCCATGAGGCAGCTGCTTTTATGCAAAAGTGGGCCAAGTGGAACCAATATTATAATAATAGACCCGCGATCCATCAACAGGGCACGATGGGAACAATATGTTCATAACAATGGGTGCTGCTCATACCCTTCTCCTAGTAGAAAGCAGTTCTTTTCAATTCTCTGGCCTAAAAAGGCGCCAGTTATGCAATGGGAATCTGTGAAATATTTCATTTTTTAAATATCTCATTTAGTATCTATAAGAAGAATACAAATCCTAGCACACTTGTTTTTTTGAATTCTTAAGATATTAAAATTACTATATATACATATATATTCAAAAGACTCTTAGGAAAGAAATACTATCTTCTGTGTGCTACTGGACAAACTATATAATTTTGCTGGGCCTCCATTTCTTCCTTTGTACAATGGGAAAAATAAAAGCAGGTACCTCACAAGGTGTTGAAAAGATTAAAAGCATTAATGTGTGAAAGCATTTTCCATGCATTACTTGATGAAAAATAGTTCCTTGGCAAATAGTAAAAGCTTAACTGATATTAGTTCTTATTATATAAGAATATTTACATATCAGAATTTAATCTGAGATTAAATAGATGGTTGATAAAGGATTACAAAATAGTTTAGAATTCAAATGGGAATTGTAAGGAAAATTGCTGCATAAATATTAAGCTATATGTACCATAGTTTAATGGTGAGCTTTATTAGAGTAAATGTTTATCAGGCATTATTGAAGAATGAATTTATCTACATAAGAAACGTTTTCAGATTGATCGATTGGTCATTCATCAGTCAGTTGCCTTAATAAGCCCTTTATATTTGGAATTTACTAACGGCTGGATACTCTGCAGAGATGCTGGAGTACCAGGATGCAAAAGGCAGGATCTACCTTCTGGTGAGACTTCCAATTCAAGCCTAAACAAATGGTTTGGTTTGGTTTCAATCACATTCAATAGAATGCAATGCAGTCCCTTCTCTTTTGCCCATGAAACAGTTAATATTATTGTTTCTTCTCCAAAGTAGTCTTAATGTGAGTTCACATTGTCCTTGGTGGCTCTTCATTCTCCCTCCCTGTCTGCAGGCCCTTTCCCTATCTTTATTGTGCAGCCCTCCTCTTTGTGTGAGCCTCTTGTGCTCAGCTTGTGCACGGTAGGACTGAATCCCTTAGACCCTGACTGCTGGATGAGAGAGACACTACACAGTGCTTCCTCGCTGATGTCTGTCCCCTTCCCTTGAAATCACTCAAGCAGTATCAGGCACATGTATATAAGGTTCTCAGAATTCAAGCACCTGTAATTTTTTTATTGTCTTATTTTCTAGAAACAAGGAAATTGTGAAAAAAGGCTGCCATCTTGAATTCATTTTACATAAGTCTCCTCATATAAACTTAGAAGCCAGAAGAAGTTGATGAAGACCTACACAAAGAAATGCCAAAGGATTCAAAATGATTGCTCCTGAACAGACAGTATCATTGGCTGTGTCTTTGTTTTCAAACAGCTGTGGGGGATGACTTTGGAAAGAGTGACACAAAAATGGCGATTTATGACCTTTTCAAGTAGAATTTTGTTGCTCTTAAAAGGCCTCACAAAACTTGGAAGTAATGATGTAAAATATACACAGAGATTCAGTATCATTTTTTTCTCACTAACATCCACATGCCTCTGAGCCAGTGAAAAATCAGAATACAGTTTGTTCAACAGTACCCTAATGTATTTATTATATAAGAGAGCTACTAAAGAGTACTGAGGAATGGAGGGTTTTTTCTAAAACTTAATGATGATGACAGTCATTTTCTTTAAGGAGAAAACAACATGTCTATGGGAAGCAGGCTGCCTAACTTTCTGATAACTTACAACACAAAGGGCCATACACACTCTTTGTTAAGTGCTTAGACATTAATGAAAGTCCCATACGAGGTCTGAGGGGAGGAGAGAGCTCAGAGGACTAAACAGATGTGCATACATTCATTTGAATGGTAATACTAAAATGTTGATTTGTTACCACAATTAAAGCTTTTCTTGAAAGTCCCCATAATAAAGTCGTATTTTGCAAAACTGGTAACTCTGAGGAAGCATAAGTTACGTCCATTCTAATAAACATGAAAACAAAATAAAGGCTTTCAAAGCACTAGTCACACTCCAAACTAAAATCCTGAATAAGTAAAAATAATGTGACAGCAGAAAGACCCAACTAATACAGAGCAAAAAAGCATCTTTTGGATTTTCTGACTCTGCCAGCTGGTCTCACCAGCACTTTTTAAACAATCAAAGTGAAAAGCCAAAAGATAACCCTTGTTAGAGGATGATTTGGATTGAACAAATTTTGAAGACTTTTTAAAAACTGGAAGCCTCCAAAACAATAACACATTTCTTAAAGAGGTCATATACACTTCCTATTGATTCACATATTAAAATATTACCCACTGGCTCTCTACTGCCTATGATATTCATATTTCAAACAAAAAGTCCAAAACTACAGAAGAATAAAGTCAAATTGAGCATGATCAACAATTACTATTATTATTTTTCAGACTGAAGATTTTTTTCTTGGCTCTCTTATTGGCATTGAGAATTATGCAATATGTGAAATTTTACTTTTTAACTGTCACAGGGAAAATTATACATTGGCTGAGATGTCTCTCGTTCCGGAAATCTGAGGCGGCGAATGTATTCTTGGACTCAGACCTTGAACAATCCATCAGGTCCCTGCCCACGGCAAATCTGTCCAGTTGAGGCTTAAAATAGGAGTTTTAAAATGGCCACATCCACATAACTGTTACTATAGCCACAGAAACATGCAGTTATGATTACTGAATTTAATGAATAACAATGTAAGTAAGTAATACAGGATGATCATACCACAAAAGCAGCGAGACTCCTTGGGGGTGAATCCCAATCAAAGCAACTATTAACGTAGTATGCAGCATTTACAAGCACCATGACACAACGTTTCATTCTGATAAAATTTCTTAGTAGCAGCTGTAAGAAAAGTGAGAATATTATTAGAATTTGCATTACTAAAAGTGATTGACTATATTGCAAAATTTTTCAAGCTTATTGTGATTTAAAATGAATACAGAAAGTTAATAAATTCACATGCACATACCCAACAATTTGACTTACAAGTTAAGGAAAAAGAAGCATTTCTTGGGAAAGTGGAAAGAACCTGACTGATAAGAGCAAATTTTCAACTAAATATATATATATTTATTTTTAATATGTATGTTTTAAATAATGCTATAGTGGTTGGACTTCTTAGTTCACATGAAAAAATTTTCCTAACGGGTTGAAACATTTTTGCTATTTATATACTGCAGACTTTTATTTAATAGTCTTAAATCTTATTGTACTTTCAAGATTCAATGAAAGTTTATCTTTCAAGATATTTCAAAGTGAACTGGATACCCTAGAATTTTCTTACTGAAGGTTTTAGAGAAAAACCTGTCAAGTATTGCTTGTTACAAAAAACAGAATGTTTTCATCATTTTAGTAGGATTTCTTCCTTCTTAATTTTATATCATCTATCTATATCTATCTATCCATCCTCTCTATTTTAAATTCAACCTATATTTTCTCACTGTCCATGATTTTAGAGTTAGGAAAACATTTAAAGTAAGCATGTGTTTCAAAAATATTTCATTAGAAGGTATATGAAATTGATATAATTTGAATTAAAAACTGTAGCATGACTTCTTTGGTAAGAATAGTAGTCCATGCACTACATAATGGTTCAAGAAATCACATACAGATATACTAATAGACTAACCATATGTGCATAGGTTACCACTTTGCTATTTCAAATATATTTCAGTGCTGATCTTGTATTTTTAAAACTAATCATGTAAAGTTTATAGAGGTCATATGGTCAAAAAGATGTGTTAACATAGATGCATGTGTACACACACCAGTTTTAACAAGTTTCTAAAACTGAAATTCCATTCAGGTAAAGTACAGAATTTCCCTGTTTGTTTTTATCCTGGTCCCTATAATCTTCCTTTAAGAACAATGTCTATTATTTTTATCTCTAATCATCAAGAAATGTGGTCTGCATTTCTGTTTAGATAATACATTTGTAACACATGCACTATCTTTAAACATTTAAGATCCCCCTGCTTGCAGTGAATCTACTAGACTGAAATAACGTGTTTAGGTTTCTAATGGTGCAGAAAATTGTCAAATATTTCCACGTGCAAAATAAATTCAGTAAACTTTAGTCATAATAAATACATTTTATTTTAGATCTGTTAATTTGATGCAAGCATTTTCCAAAAAAGGTAGCTTAGCACTTTACTTAACTTGATATCAAGCCAAAGTTAAAATTATAATTGATTTCTATCCAGTTAGTTTAAAAATCCTTCATGACAGAAAAGTCAGATTTCTCGATTTTCTGTTTTCTTAGCTAATAATGCCAATGAAAGTTCACTCCCGCAAGATCATGGCTAAAATCTAATTAACAGGAAGGCCTCCCTGCGAAAATGGAGCCCCCTTTCCGAGGATTAGAGGGATGAGCTTTATTTGGGGCTCACTTTACACACACCTGCATGGTACCTGTGGGTGGTCTGCACACAGATTGGAGCCTGGCTCCTGGCTCCCTCATTTACATATCCCATGGCAATCAAACTGCATTTTACCTTCAAAACGATCCTTCTTTTGCTAATGCATGGCTAACATACCCATCATGAGCAGCACTTACAGTAACTCTTTTCTTCTTGACCACCCCCATCTATTTATTAGTTTGGTATTGTCCTTGTTTGATCTTTTAAAGAAAGGAATGAAGAGAGAAAAGGAAAGAAGGGAGGGGGAAAAAGAGCCATTTTCAATAAGCAGATGATCAAAAAAATTCCGTCCTCTGCCCCCCTTCATATCTCCAAATTTATTTGAATTTACTTAGATGTTTTACAGCTATAATCAGGTCTTCCCAGAGGGATGAATCTCTCCTTGCTTTTTACCTGTTTAGAGAGTCTGTTTTCCTCTTCAATGTACTTCTGTTCTTTGGGTATTAACGTTCGTAAGCTGGCTTTCACCTATGCATCAACACATGTGTCTGTTATGGATTCGTATATCACAAACGTTTACAAGTTTTGCACGCCATTCAATTTGCAATAATTACTCAAAGTTTTGAAGTCCTGCCTGCCTTGCTCATAAAATATAAATGTATACAGTTGCACTCGGCCCGCTGCTGCTTCCCTTCCCAGCCGGGCAGGAGCTGCCGGCCGGAGTCCAGGAGCCGCGGCAGCAGTCGCCAGCCAAGTCGAACAGAAAGTGTGGGTGTGCCAGGCATGGCAGAAGCGTATTCTCCAGGACACATCAAGGTTTAGAGAAAATGAGGAATGACAGAAATTCTCTACAAATCAGGAACAAAAGCTTTCATGAAACTGAACTCTTTAGCAGTACAAAAAAGCCAAAGTTAAGACTTACAGCATTAAAAATCACATCTATTTCAAGATAGATGACCCCCTTTGTTGGCCCTGTCAGCTGCTTGTTTTTCAAGACGTAGGCTTTCTGTTCACCATTTTGAATCTGCGGGAAAAGGACATGACAGCCGTCTGTCTCGCGGTCTCCACTGAATACACTCCCTCGGTGACCTCTGACCCCCAGCTGCTGAAACTGACAGAGAACCCAAAACAACTGTGGCAATTCTGACAAGTACCTGTTCATTACCAGGATCAAGTCTGTCAGGAAAAATTAACTATCATGGGATTCAACATGGCCGTGAATTGAGTATGTTAAAATTTTTAGTGTTCTTATTACAGACCTTGGTTGAGAAATGACAGACATAGAGCTGAGGGTTTTTTTTTTTTTTTTTTTTTTTTTTCCTTTCTTCAGCAAAAGCAACACAGAACAGTGTGTCAGGTGCAGAAAACTTACGGATAGCAATGGTATAGCAACTTTGCCCAGAAAGTCAGCACTTCGATCCCGGTCTTCATCATAAACTGTCACTTCAAGAACTGAATTGATATCTTTAATGTTGCTGCATAATAAACATATATGTAAGGAAAAAATATTTCATCAATGGAAAGCAAGAAGTAGAATGGTTTTGAAAATTTAGATAGCTCCATCTGATGTGTGTGTGTGAGCAAGTATGTGTTTACGTGTGTTATTTGCATACACACATACACAGGGAAGCCTCCTATCTGACAGAATTTCCCATAATTCATCCTAGTTGACTGCTGTGATGGTCTTGTTATCTGAAACTTGGAAGATCATGTAAGTTTTTAAATTACAACTGTTTAATGAGACTTAAGTTCCCATCTAAACAGGCAAAGAATAAGTTTTTGTAAAAAATCAATAGGTGGTTCTGTTTCTTTTAGATTTTTCTTTATTCTTATTATAACAATAAACCATATTTTCCCATGACAGCCACATCAAACACTACTGACTGATAGGAGCAGGAGTGATTATATATTTTTGTAGTAATTATTTTTTGTAACAATAGGACATCTCCTTTTTGTTTGTAGCTCTCCTCAAAAACACTGTTTGTAATAAAAACGAACAAACACAGAAAACAGAATGCAGAAAATGTAACATTTATAGCTATTGTACCTCCCTGGAATTTAGAAATTAAGTCATGTTCCATTGTGTGCCAAAGACAACATATGTTAATAAACAACTGGGCGAGCTCTTCATATTTTTGTTTCTGGAAAAGTGAGTGCAAATTGTTGACAGCATTTATCCTTTGATCAAACTGTTTACCAAGAAAACATGAATTAAGAGAAAACAAAGAGAGAGAGAGAGAGAGAGAGAGAATATATTCATTACTGAAAGCCTGCAACCACATATAAGAAGGGGCTTTATCAGGGTACAATCAATTAATGGCTTTGATAATAATCAAACCTATTCATTCAATTATGCATTCCAGAGAAAAACACTCTCCTCAACCTTCTTAGGAGTGCAAGTCTCCTGACCAAGCTTTCATCTTTTATGAAAATGTGGAATTCCCTAAAAATAAATTGGTCCCATAATTAAAGCTGATTAGTTACTGGCTCTTAAGCAGAGACATTAGAAGGAATTAATGAGGAATTTAGCAATTTTCCATGTACAAAAAATAAAACTATGTTAGGAAACTTTTGAGCAGTACTTTTGTTTAGAGACTTTCCTTTGTTTAGAGTTCATTTCTAAAAGCCCAGTTTAAAAAAAAAGAGAGAGAGAGAAATGAACTTAGGAGATACTATAGTGTAGCATCGGCAGCTTTTACAGTGCATGATTGAAGAGATTTACAAACTTATTAAGACAAAAGAAAAATTAACTCAAAGGGTGTTTTGGTATCTAGGACAATACTTAATATTCTTATTGTGCTAAAATGAATCAGACCAAAAGTAAAGCATCTGCCGAATTCGTGACCAGATTGTTTGCTGATTTCAGCAATAGAACAAATAGAGCTTTGTCCTCCTTGGTGTCAATGCAATTGGGAAGAATTTCAATAGAAAGTATAAAAGGAAGAGGCAGCATGGCAATTCAGTTGATGGGAGCAAAACCCTTAGTCAAGTCCTATAAAAAGCACAGTTTTTAAAAAAAGTCTATGAAAACAAAACAAAAAAGCAAACAGCAAACTTCTTTCCCTGGATTTCACTCAGGAAGGTAACAAAGTTATGGAGCTCAAGATTGTTAGAAAAAGTCTGGCCTGGTGTACTGACTTATGAATCGGTGAGGAACACACACACACACACACACACACACACTCACACACAAAACCTCAAAAGAAATGCAATTTTACACCAGCGCTGAAAGCAGCTCAAGGTAATGGCTACTTACAAGGTAAAGACTTTGTTCCACTCAGGATTGAGATTTTTGTAGACGGTGTGTGTCAGCAGCCTATCATTGTTCAGTTCTACTACACAAAATGGGTCGCTTTTACCTACGAGAGATTTGGGGTGCGCATTTTTATTATAAATAGTAACCACTTTCACAGCATCCTGAGGATGACACTCAGTCCTTTCCACAGTTTTATGGTAAACAAAAAGTGAAGAAAAATTTTAAAATTAAAAAAAATCCTCAACATAGAGTTAGATGGAACCAGATGATGTTAGCAACTGTTACGATCAATAACAATTTAGAACCTGAAAATAAGTGAAAGAGATCAAATTATATAGTGGAATTCCAATTTGCATTTTTAACAAAAATGATTCTATACTGTCAATCAGAAGAGAGAATGAGCATGTCCATCTCTAAATAAGTTTTTATTTCACTCCGTAATAACCACTTGAAGTGTTCAGTGTTTTTAATCTTATGCATGTATTTTCAGCTCAATAGATTCACAAGTACATAACTTGTAATGGGAATTTCAAAGCAAGTTTATTTTGAGAAAACTGCTATATTGCAAAACTACAACATTTTAATCTAAGGTTGAGTTACTTTCTCTCCAGATATCTATGCAGTCACAAGAAGGTATATTAGAACTTCTCAGGCAGAAAAAATTCTGCCATTTGAAATTTAACATCAACAACCAATCTGCATGTTAAAGAGCAGTATTTTTTTCTGTTCACTGAAAGTAAAGGATTTAGAAGTTATCATTTATTTACAGCTACTCTGCTCTGCCATAGTCAAATCTCATCCATCTGACAATTAGATTTTCTAATATTCTCAATATTTTTGTAATGGCATGTTCTGTATTATAAGAACCCATAAAGTCAGAGGCTCTGTGGGGCCACATTAATGATATTAGAGCAGCATGTAATTTGTTTGATACCTTATACAAATGACAATGAAATCAATATTTAGACAAAGCTGTCCAGAGGTCATATCTTTTAAACCACAATATTGATTCAGACTACATAAGAGGTTAATGTGCATATTATTAACTTTAATGATAAAGAATAATTGTTTTAAATGCATTGTGAATTATAGTCACAATAGTTTACATTGGTGCAAAAGCTTAAATATCATTGAAGATTTCAATTAATTTTTAATGGGAAGGAATTTACTATCAATGACAGATAAATCGTGTATTCCCATACAAAAGTGTGTTTACTTTCCACGGTGTAATTCTTAAAATGAGCTGTGCCTACTTCAATTCACTTTTAATTTAAACTGTTGATTTTATATTTAAAAAATTTAATACATGTGTGCTAGTTCAGTGGCGTCATATACCCTAGGATAATTGCATAGCAATATTTTGATAGTCTTCTCAATTTTGAGTTTGGCGATAATTTCTAGTAAAGAATAGAGAACCGAAAGCCTTTAAGGTCCAGTGAAAATTTTATTCATGCTTTAGATTCTGTATATCTCCCTTTCCCTGCTTCTTTCATTCCTCTCACCTTTTCTACCTTTACCACCCTCATTTTCAGCACACGCGTGCCATGGAAGATAGTGTACAAACAGAATATTTTGTTCATCCAAACACCTTGTAATTAGTTTTATTTGACAGATCAATAACTGTATTCTCTTCCATGGAGCTTTGATACAGGCGTAAAATGGCAGGCTCCAATAGTTCTTAAATACAATTTAAAGTAAGCCTCTAGACAAAATCTTCTCTAGTAACCACATCCTATCTTATTAGTTAGTAGGCTGCATGCCTAGGAAAAGCTTGGTAGTTCTGACTACAGATTCATGTATTCCACAGATATTTGTTGCTTACTATGTATCAGTCCAAGCGCTGGGAACATAGCAGTGTGCAAATCAACTTACATTCCTGACCTCATGGAATTTCCATAGAAGAAGACAATGAGTACATTTTAGGCTGTTTTGGGTGATAATTACTAATGGAGAAAAATAACCACGGGAAAGGCAGTGAGGAATGCTCATCTGCAGATAAGATTTTCAAGAGGACTGCAGAAAAGGTCTCACTGCCAAAGCGACGTACAGGCAAAGAAATGAATACTTCGAGAGATCGAGCCCTTGGATTACCACAGGACAGACGCAGACAGGCCAGAGAAGCAGCCATGCCTGATACTTTCAGGGATGACTAGAAAGCCAGTGTGACTGGTGGATGGACAGGGTGTGTGGACAGCAGGCAACAGGGTAGTGTGAGGAGGCAGAGTGGCGGGCCTAGTGAAAAGAGCAAGTTTTGGGGGATTTGAGTTGAACAGTGACGTGATCTGATGGCTGCTTTTTAGAGAATAAGATGAAGACGGGAATGGAAGAGATAGGGTGAATTAGAAAGTGATTGCAGTAATCCAGGTGGTTGAAGGGATTGGATTCTGGATATCTTTTGAATGTAGAACCAGCAGGATTTTCAGGGGTCAGTAATGAACAACTTCATAGTCCTGATATTATTATTTGTAGCCAAACTATTTTTTAAAGTCAGAAAGTACTCCAAAAAACACTCAGATTGGACATTTCTTAGAACCTGACACAGGGAATTTTAGGCAACAAGAGAGCAAGTAACTTTATGCATAATGTGTATTCATCTTATCCTTCTAAAAAGTTATCTTTTTATGGTGTAAGTAATAAATGTCAAATTAGGTCTAAACACACTGTGATTTTTCACTAACTTAGAAAGTACTCTTCTGCCATTGAGTGATCAAAGGCAATTACAAATTAAAAGCAATTTCACCCAAAGTAACAATAAATGAACAAGATCAAATTCTATAAACTTACCACTAAAAATCTTACTACAATTTTATTTTAAAGAAGTGGCAACACATAGTTCATGTGTTTATCTGGCTTGCTAAATAATGCTTTAAACAACTGGCTTTTCAGCTCACCAAATTTGCAGGCCTGATTATCTGCCACTTAAACAAACAAAAACAATCAGAGAAATACCACTGATGGACTGAACCATTAATTATCTCCTAATTATTCTTTCTTTCCCCTCTTATCATTCCATTTAGACTCTGCGATATGCTGTTCTGCTTTCTCAGAGTACCTGATTCTGAGGTTTGACTAGAGGATGGAGTTGTCCACAAAGTGCACTGGATTTTGCAAAGCTCCAGGGAGTGCTGGAAAGCAGCCCCCTGTAATGTTACTCATTACCACAGGGCTACAAGTGCAAGTCCTGAAGGCAGCACCCAAAGCTGAGGGATATTTTGCCCTGGTAGTTTTTGGCTGGAGAGCCTAAATGTATGACAACATGAATTATGCAATTTCTTATCCTCCTCATATTCATTTTTGTCTAAGGCAGGTACTAATAGACCTTCCCTTCACTCCCAACATTTTGGCTAAATGCTCATCCTGTCCCTAGCAATGTAAGAAAGTGGAGAATTGGGTTGGGATAGAAGATAGAAATTGCAGCAGTGCTGGGTAAGGATAGAACTGGTTGCTTCAACTGCCATGACAGCTGGAAGAGAATCTCAGCTTTCCTTGAGAACATGGCAATTTGCTATGATGACAATTTCCTAGAGAGAAATAGTAAAGGCCTTTTGAAGCATTCATTACTTACTGAGTGTCTGCTCTGCTCACCCCAGAATTAGCAATGTGATGAGAACAGAATCAAGCTCTCAAGGCATGCACAGTTTAGTAGGCATGATAGACATGCAAATTCACAATTATCATGCAGGGCTCTAAGTGCTGTAATAAAGGTAAGTGGAGAGCAGAGGGAGCAATGAGAAGGGAGCACATAGGGTGGGAAGGGTCAGAGGAGGAGGACTTCCCCCAGGGGCTGACCCATGGCCTCTATGGGGACATACATCCTGGTCTCCAGCATTTTTAGAAGTGAAGGACAGACACGTGAAAAGTGGACTTTAACCATTTCTGATCAGGAGTATTTGGTTTAAATTTACTTATACACCTCTTTGATAAGCTCTCTATCATGCAAAAACCTACATATACGGAACAACTTCAAAAAAATAGATATTTAAAACTGTCAGGACAGAGGCATTTATGCATAACCTAGTTAAATAATAAAGGCTATTGTTTTTACTGTTGATTTTTAATAGGAAAAAGAAACTTCCCCCAGGGAATTAAGATCACAGACACTATATCTTAAAACCAAATCCATAACAAAGTCCAACGCATATACTCTATTACTTCCGTTCTTCTTTTAGTGAAAAGCCATTCTTACAATAAAATCATCAGAATTAACTCGAGTGGGTATCTTTTCTAGCAGTCTGCAAAACAGGGGCAAGCATTCAATGGGGTGCACCGCTGGCCAGTTCTCTTTCACTCTTACCCTTGCTCTCTGAGGTCACAGCCCTGACATATTGATAAAGAACTGTGGGAAAGTCTGCGACGCCCCTCCTCCCCTGCTACCTGTTTTTGTGGCAAGTGATGACTTCAGTTTGTTCACATCCCTGGCTTGAGCATTAAAGTCACTCAAAAGACACTGAGTGATAGTCGTGCTCCCAAAGTAGGGACTTAATCCTGATTCATCCATGGTGGGCTTTGTCCAACATCATTTTGCAGCTGACAAGTGGCACAGTTTGCGGCATGTGAATGTGCTATAAAATGTGTTTGTAGGGAAGGGACCCAGCGACCATCGCTTTGTTGCCATGTCTCTGGAAACACAGAAGGCTTTCAGCAGTATGGAATGCGATCCATACCCATGGGGCTGTTTTAGTTTGGATCTACCTTGCACAAATTAAGTTCCTTGGATTAATTTCCTTAGTTGCTACAGTTTCAAATGGCTATATTTTAATTTTTAAAAAAAAAAAAACAAAACTATAATCAAGGTTCCCATCTGTCCTTTCTGCAAATTGGAATTTCAATCAAGACATACAACAATGTTACAGTTGAGGGAATTCCATAGGGTCTCTGTGAACAAAAAAAAAGCAACGTATGTTGAAGACATCTTCCAATCCTCTTCTTACCACTGGAGATGAGGCTTTGACCTTGGTCTTTCTCATCAGCTGACCTAAACACATTTTAAACATCTGATTGGTAGAATTACATTAACTGACACTCTTTACTAGTTTCCCACTGGGTCTGATTCTGGGATTGAATCATAATAATAGTGCTTCTCTTTTCTCACTAAGTCATGAA